GGTTGCAGTGAGCCAAGACTGCACCACCGTACTCTAGCCTGGGTGACAGAGCAAGACTCCATCTCAAATTAATTAATTAATTAATTAGTTAACCCAGGCTGAATCCTAATCCAAGTTATAGACTGAGTCCTGGGTCCTAACTGAATCTCTGTTCCTGACTCCAGGCAGCCCTGACTGTGGTCATAGACCAAGTTCTAACTCTGGAGTCCCAGGCTGAGTCCCGATCCTGGATGCTGCCAGACCACACACCAAGTCCTCAGATTCTATTTTCACAAGGCCTCCCCTTTCAAAGTATAAACCTGTCTCCTGAAGAGGAACCAAGTCAGCCTGTTAGTGCTCGTTCCTTGGCCGAGAGAAATGCTCTCGAAGGAATGGATCATGGAACAGCTTAGCATTGAGAGGTAGGAGTCAGAGAGAAGCAGAGACCGTTCCTTCCAGACATGAGAAGCTGAGCTGGACAAGTAGCCCACCAGAGGAACAGAAAAGTGACGAAGAGGAAATATGGTATTGGGGGAAAGGGCAGCTGACTGCTCTGCTAAGGACAGTAGCTGGGAGCTTTTTAATATGCCCTATGGAGAGTCATTCATTCATTCAGCAAACACTGAGCACCAAGCACTAAGCACCACCAATGAGCCTAGTGTTCGTCCATTCCCCTGTGCATTCGGTAAGAATGTATTATATGCTACAAAACCCACATTCTGTTTAGTGGGGGGTGGAGGACTTCTCAGTCGGTGTCTCTAGAGTTATACATTACCCTCCTCCCTCTCCCTTACACCACCACACCCACACTGTGGGTTCCTATGGCACTGAGAAATGAGTCTTAGAGTCAGGCAGATGGGGCAAGTCACCTTCCCTCTCGAACCCTCAGTTTCCCCTTTTACTAGATGGGCAATTATGCAGTGTGAAGGAGATAACAGTTAAGAACACACTTAATGCAATACGAGGCATACAGTTGCAACTTAATAAGCGTTGCCCCTTTCTGGACTGCTGGGGTTGTTGGGAGGATGCAGTCACTAATGCTACACATGGCAACAGTGATTGCCCAGTGGAAGGCCAATGACAGCTGTCTGGAAGGCTGGGCCTCAGTTTCCCCATCTGTAAATTGTGGGGTTAGACTCGATGATCCTTCTGTTCCAGCCACCCCTGGATGCCCTATAGCTGGATTTCAGAGGAAAAGGTGATGGCAACACTCAGTCCCCAGAGCCCCTGAACTTGGCTGTGGGCTGAGCTGCCCCGGAAGTCAATCTGTGACACAGTAGAGTCCAGGGCAGTTATAAACTTAGCCCAGTGCATTCTCCCCACAGCACTCACAGCCAGGGTTGGACCAGAGCTGACCAGCCCAGAAGTCATCAAGGCCACACTGGCCTTGACCCCAGTTCAGCGGATAAGAGTATAGCCTCAGAAGGTCACCACCCCTCCCCCTGCTCCAGGCCACAGTTTTCCCATGCCTCAAGTAGGCAGTAGAAAGGGCACAGTCTTTGAGGCACTGATAGGTTTCATTGTGAATCTTGACCCACCCCACACATGCTGGATGACCTCAGCTAACTTACTTAGTCTCTCTCAGCCTTAGTCTTCCCACCTGGAAAATGGGATGATAAGATCTCAATTTTAGGACGATGATTGAGAAGTGGAGGGGATGGTGACAACAGGCTCAGGCAGTGCCATGTATACAGCAGATGCACTATAGCTGCAGGTGGGTGTGATCACTGCTGGGCTTGAGCAGGGGCGTACACACTGTTTCACGGCAGTGTCCAGGGTGGCTGGAGTCAGGAGAAGGACCAGACAGGATTTGGGGCCCCACTTTCTTTCCAGGACAGAAACCTTTTGATACTTTTTTAATCCAGTAGGTTACTTTGTAAGAATTCATTTGAAGAAAAAGGAGTGAGGCTAAAAAATATTGCCATGAAAAATGTTTAAGACTACTGGTTAGATGAATTTCCAGGGCTAGCTGGGCACAGTGGCTCACACCTGCCATCCCAGCACTTCGTGAGACCGAGACAGGTGGATTGCTGGAGCCCAGAAGTTTGAGACCAGCCTGGGCAACATAGTGAGACCTCATCTCTACAAAAAATAAATTAAAAAAATTAGCTGGGCATGGTGATATGTACCTGTGGTCCCAGCTACTGGGGAGGCTCAAGTGGGAGGATCGATTGAGCCCAGAAGGTTGAGGTGACTGTGAGCCACGGTCATACCACTGCACTCAAGCCTGGGCAATAGAGTGAGACCCTGTCTCAAGTAAATAAATAATTAAATAACCAAATAGGATGAATTCTCAGGGCTGAAACACTTACTGATGAAGGGCCTATTGCATGCGGGGCTCTGGGAAGGCTCTTGGGAGCCAATAAAAGGCTTTCTTCAAAATTTTTACTTTACTCATAGCCCTCGTGGGTATCCAGCGGTCGTGCAGACTGGGGGTCCTTTCAGTCCGTGGCAGTGAATTTCCCCCACGGTGCCCACTGATGATGGAAGAGTACCAACCACCCTGTGCCTCACAATGTGCTGGTGCCCTGCCCCCTGCAGAGCATCTGATCCGCAAACAAGAGGGTAATCAGACTGGCAGGCACCTATTCCACAGATGGGGAAACTGAGGCAGGGAGTGCCAATGTGACCTTCCAGAGGTCACATAGTGACTAAAAGGTGCAGCTGAGACTCATAGGCAGAGCTTGGCAGCCCCGAGCCCCGGGCTGTCCTCTAACCCCTGGAGCCCTGGGGGTCCAAGTGAGACTGGCTGGGACGTGGCTGCACATCTCTGCTCTCAGACCCCACCTCGCATGTCACTCAGAGGCATCCTGGCTGGGAGGCTTGTTTGTTCTACAAGTCTAGTTTTTCACTCTTTTTGGAGTAGGGGGACGGAGTTTCTGTCCCCCAGGCTGGAATGCAGTGGCACGATCTAGGCTCACTGCCACCTCTGCTTCCCCGGTTCAAGCAATTCTCCTGCCTCAGCTGCCTGAGTAGCTGGGATTACAGGCATGCACCACCACACCCAGCTAATTTTTGTATTTTCAGTAGAGACAGGGTTTTTCTATGTTGGCCAGGCTGGACTCAAACTCCTGACCTCAAGTGATCTGCCCACCTCGGCCTCCCAAAGTGCTGGGATTATAGGCATGGGCCACCAAGCCCAGCCTCAGGCATTCAGTTCTGTGATCAGCTTGCCTTGGTTAAACCAAAGGAGCAAGAAATTTGTGGCAGGCATTTGATTCAGAAATGGGGTGAGCAGATGTGAGAGGGGAAGAAGGAGATACCAAGGCGGGTTGGGGGATCTGTGAGGCAGGGGGATTCATGTTTATGGGGCACTCGGCACCATGGTCTCAGTGGCTGTTATTGTGCCCATGGATAAGGAAACTGAGGCAAAGTGGCTGGCTAGCTGTGGAGCCAAGACTGGCTTTGGGTGTCTATGGCTCCCTGTCCGGTGCTCTTTGCAAGGCCAGCCAGTCCCTGTGGGCCGGAAGCCATTTTCTCCAGCCCTTCTTGGGTGGCCCTCAGAGACCCTGTCCAGCCTCAGAGCCTTCTCTTCCCAGAAGGCCCCTCTCCAGGGCAGAATTTCGAAACCAAAGCATAATCCTTACCTGGGACCCCAGCAAACAGCACAGGGGCTCAAGCCCCTCCTGCACCGTAGTAGTGGGTCTGGTTCTCGGGAATGCTGGGGCTGCAACCAGACAGACCTGGGTTCAAGTCCCGGCTTCACCATCTACTCCCTGTCATGAACTTGACCACATTATGCATCCTGGGCCTTGGTTTCAGTCTGTGAAATGCAGGCAAAAAAATATGCTGGGGAGAAGAGGAGGAACTAGGAAGAGGAAAACTAGTAAAAATGAAAGCGGGCTGTGTGTCAGTCCATCTTTCTGATCATCCCACACAGACTCCAGGCATGAGAAAGACCACTAGAAGATCAGGAAGTGGAGGATTAACCCAGGCAGGGGCCCTGCTGGGAAACCCAGGGCTCTACCCTGCAGGACCTCAGGGCCAAATCCTGTGTTGGGGCCATGGGATGGATTAGGCAGGCCTCTGCCTTTAAGGAGATTCCAGGCCAAAAGGGGAGGAGTGTTAACCTCATCCAGTCTAAGGGAGTAAGTGGACATTCCATCCAGTCTCAGGAGGGAGGCAGATACTCCGTTCATTCTAAGTGGGGGATTCAGATGCTGTCTAACCTGGGCGGGGGACTGCAGGAGGGAAGAGCAATTGAGTCTAAGGAGGAAGTGAACAGTCCATCCATTCTGAGGGTGTGGGAGCAGTGGACACACCCTGTCCAGCTGTATGACAGGCAGCTTTGATTTTGTATTTGGTGTTTCTGTAGTGGTTCAGAGTACCTGGTAGATACGCGAGGCTGCTTGCGTTCTCCATCATTCAACAACTGTTTATAAAGCAGCTCCTCTGTAATCCTAGCCCTTTGTGAGGCTGAGATGGGTGGATCATCTGAGGTCACGCGTTCAAGACCAGCCTGACCAATATGGTGAAACCCCATCTCTACTTAAAACTACACACACACACACACACACAAATTAGCCAGGCATGATGGCGGGTGCCTGTGATCCCAGCTACTCAGGAGGCTGAGATGGGAGAATCAGGGAATCTGGAGACAGTGGTTGCAGTGAGCCAAGATCATGCCACTGCACTCCAGCCTGGGCTGCTGAACAAGACTCCATCTTAAAATAAAATGAAATGAAATAAAATAAAATAAAATAAAGCACCTCCTGTGTGCTGGCTTCATGCCAGGTACTGGATGGAGGGTGGTGGCGTTTGAAGCTAGTTGGGTGCTTTGGAAGCAGACAGTGAGGGGATCTAAGGATCCTCTTTGGGGTTCAGAATGCAGAGGGGAGTATGATCTGATAACTCCTCTTGGGGCTGCCAATGTCAGGAACCCAGAACTCCAGAAGTTTTCCTTTAAGCCTTGTCTTCCCACAGTGCTTCCCAGGACAGGACACTGCGGGTACAGCTATCTGCTCTGTCACATCTGCACAGCATTGGTATCTCGTTCTCTTCAGATACTGGACACTTGAAAGTTTGTCTCAATGATCAATTGATGCACTCAAACCACACTAAATTAGCTTTGTCATCTGGTCCAGGTTCGGCTGGGCAATTCTGCTGGTTTCATTTAGGCTCACCCAGGCAGCTGAAGACACCTTGGTGCAGCATGGTCTAAGTTGGCCTTGCTTGGCCTGGGTTAGCAGCTGTTGGCTGAGCCCTATGTCTCCAGCAGGCTAGCCTGGGCTCATCCATTGGATGCAGCCTTCCCAGAGCAAGCCACAGTGTGCAACTGCTTCCCAAGCCTCTGCTTACATCGCATTTGCTGATGTCCCATTGGCTAAAGCCGGTCATTTGACCAAGCCTGTGGACAGTGTAGGAGAGGATTACACAAGAGGGGTGGGGCTCCTGGGCACTCACGGCTGTACCAACCTACGACCAACTCTCCTGGGCACCAGGCTGTTTCCTTCCTCTGCACCTTTGCCCAAGCTGTCCCATTTGCTTGTTATGCCCTGATGGGTGATCTCCTACTCGGGCAAGTCACAAACTTCTCTGTGCCTCAGCCTCCTCCTCTGTAAAATGGGGATCACATGAGTTTAAGTTATTCTGAGGATTAAACGAGTTAACACACAAACATTTAAAACAGTGCCTAGCACAGAGTAGGTCCTCCAGAGATGCCAGCCATCACCATCACAATGGTGATTCTTGGCATGACGACCCCTGCCCTCTTCAAAGCCCCGTTTAAGGAATCTCCTCCTCCCTGAAGCTGTCTCTGGTTCTCTTCAGCCAAGCATCCACCCCCAAGACTGGCCCTATAATTATCTTTTCTTCATCCACCTACTCCAACTACAGTGGGGTCCAGAGGGAAGGGAATCCCAGGGCCCAGCCCAGGGAGTGTGAAGTATCTTATTTCCTCTGCAATTAGGCAGGCAAGACAGTCCTCGGTGACTCCATTTGGCATAGGTGAAAACTGAGGCTGTAGGAGATGTGCGGACTTGCCTGGGGTTGCGCAGCTGGTAGGTGGATGAGCTGGGAGTGGAGCCAGGTTGGGCTGTAGCAGCTGTGTTTGCCTTGCCTCACTGTCCAGCTTTCACCTGGGCCGGGTGTCAGGGTCTCAAAAGGAAGGCAGATATGGGCTCTGCCCCATGGAGCTCACAGTTTGGTGGAGGAGAAAGGCTCAAGCAGAGAGTAGGAGGTGTGAGTAGCTCTGTGGGCTGTGGGGGCCAGATGGGTCCTTGATCCTGTGGGGTCAGAGCTGGCTGCCCAGAAGACATGAAATGGAGTAAGCAGAGTGACATGCTCTGGGCCACAATCAGGGTGTGTGGCCGCCCTGACATCGCTGCAGCTGCCTGCACAGCCACATCCCTGTGGGTTGTGGGACTGTGACCCTCCCCACTACCTCCCATTACTTAGGACACACCTCCTGGGCCTCCAGTAACTACCCAGGCCCCCACACCTGCTGCACCATGGTGGTGCAGCCCACCTCCCCCACGCCTTCAGCCTTGTGGACATTTTCTCTGGAGATTCCAATTCCCCGCCTCCTTGAGGTCAGTGTCTGCCCAGAACCTCCCGGCAGGAGAGAATAAACCCCACAGCTCTTAAGGCAATGCCTTCCTGTCCAACTGGACAAAGATAGGCTGTGCAGGAATCTCCCCTGGGAGGACTCAGCCATCACCTGAGGAATGGGAGTCCATGGAAACGTGACTCGCCCCTGTGAGAATAAAGCCTTTCATCTGGACATCGAAATGGCCACCAGCTCCCTGAGTGACTTTGGGCAAGTCATGTCCCCATTCCAAGCCTCAGAAAGCCCACCTGTGAGATGAGGATGAAAATAACCCCCTCATAGGCCTGCCATCCCACCACCATGGCGCGATCCACCTGGTACATAGTCAGTATTCAGGGAATGGTGGTAGGGCAGTAGTGTGAATAACTTTAAACTGGAGGAGCTTTTAAAAACCTCTAGAATCTCCTGGAAAGAGTGGCGAGCACCTCAGTGACCAGTTCATGCATTAGGTAGCGACCACGACTTCCATTAGCATTGAAGGCGTTTATGGAGGGCTTGCTGAGAGCATAGCAGAATGCCGGGTATTGGAGTCCTGAGGAGTCATGTACAATCCACTTATCACCTATGCTTGCTTGCTTTAAAAAAATACTCCTTTGGCTGGGCACGGTGGCTCATGCCTGTAATTCCAGTACTTTGGGAGCTTGAGGCAGACGGATCACGAGGCTAGGAGTTCAAGACCAGCCGGGCCAACATGGCGAAAACCCGTCTCTACTAAAGATACAAAAAATTAGCTGGGCGTGGTGGTGGGTGCCTGTAATCCCAGCTACTCAGGAGCCTGAGGCAGGAGAATCACTTGAACCTGGGAAGTGGAGGTTGCAGTGAGCTGAGATCGTGCCATTGCACTCCAGCCTGGCGACAGAGTGAGACGCAGTCTCACTCTGTAAAAAAAAAAAAAAAAAAAAAAAATTCATTTAATTGTATTTTACAGAGGGATAATGTATATATAGGAAGATGACCCTGTGTTAGGTTGCTAGGGCTGCCATTACAAAATACCACAGGCTGGGCTGGGAGCTTCCACCATAGGAGTTTATTTTCTTGGTTCTGGAGGCTGG